ATGCCGATAAAGGAATTTGATGTTGTAGTGGGAATGAATTAGTTGGCAGAAAATCAGACGACTATTCTGTGTAACAAAAAGATGATCAGAGTTACCTTACCAGGCAGAGGGCCAGTTGTTATACATATTGTTGCGAAAGAAGATAAGGTTAAAACCTAATCTAAAAAATCTAAGAAACACACAGTTTGAACAGAAAGAGATAAGAACAAGAGAGAAGAGAGTTAGAAGGGGAAGAAGGTGCTTGCTGAGAAGAGGAGTCTTCTCAGCTATTTATGCCCATTGTATTTAATGCAAGTCACAGGTTATAAGCCACGTGGCAAACTTCTAGTGGAGAGCTTGTCTTTTGTCTTCAGTTATGTATACTTTTGGCCGCCTATGAACAATTGTCTTTCATAAAGTTAGTAAGCACGTTTGGAGACAATAAAGTAACTCCATACGTGTACTAATCTGTGTGAGGTATAGGATTGTTCTTTTTGTTTAAGAGGATATGACAAAAAGCTAATCTTCTAGAGAAAGATTCATTTGATCGCTAACACTGATTAATCTCTAAAGATTCTTCAATGTTCGCTGACTCTTAGTCAGATTTCACACTTCGATTTAGACATTCTTGTTATCACTGAATCGACTTCAGATCATGAACTGTTATGTCTTTGTCTTCAGCTAATTTTTTGGCATCGCTGAAGGTTCCTTTGGTATGAGTTTTGTCTTTGAGGAATAATTGTTCTTTGAGAAGTTGATAATACATGTTCCGCGATCACTTAACAAACTTAGAGATGATCGCTGAGACTAAACAGAAGTAGAACAAACATATTTCACTAAGTATAGAGGGTCATCATCGAATCACTGAGAGAGTTTGGATCAACATTTTTCATTCAAAAAAATAGTTTAGGGACTTAATCATTCAAAATGAAAAAGTTTATTAGATTTTTTTGAACTTTTTCTATTGAAAAAATGGTGAAAAGGATAATGGATTGATTGTAGATATCACATGTAATATTTGAAGCAAATTATGAATTTTTTTATATGTGTATCTAAAAAACAGTGAAAAAAATCACAAAAACTTGATAAAAAATTATAAATTAATTAAAATTTAAAAATAAATAAACTTAAAATGATAATTATTCTAATTTCTAAAACAAATTATTTTTTATTTATGGTATTTTTTTTAGTAAATTATGCAGTTTAAATTCTTTCACAACTTCTCGCAAATAGACAGCCTTTTTGTTAACACACACACATATATAAATATATGTATGTGTAGGGAAAGATTCATTTGAGAAATGGTAAATATTTGAGAAGTAAAGAAGTGGTTCTATCCATTCATCTGGTCAACATTTGCGAATTTGACTGTGAAGCACCGGATAATTCCTTGCATTGATATGTGGAAGATGGAGGGGTAGTATCATAACTTTTATAAATAGGTAGCAAACGGATTCATATGTGAACCCATGTGATTCACATATATATTATATGTTCATATGTGAACCCCTCAATTAGTTTACATGTGAACTATTTAATTAATTCATATATGAACCAAAAGGTTCATATGTGAGTCATTTAATTAGTTCATATGTGAATCACACGGATTTATATGTGAAATCAGTTAAAATAGTTCATATGTGAATCACACGGGTTCACATATAAACATATAGTTCTTTTGTGAATCACATAGGTTCACATATGAACCATTTGCCGCCTATTGGTAAAATTTACAAAACTACCCCCTCTATTTTTTGTATTGCCGCAATTTTTGACAAACAAAAAATAAAAAATAAAACTTAATCAAATAGAAATCTCGTGAAAAAAAACAAATTAATCTATGTATATTAAAGGAAGAACCAAAGGATTGTTATCTTTTTTCTCATTATTTTGATTTATTTTTGATATACAATCAACACATTAATTGCTAACCCTTCCATTTTCCTACTTTTTTAACTCCATTTTCATTATTTTATAAAGGATATTTCAATCCACAAATATATAAAATGATATATAATTTTATTTACATCAATACATGCATATTTTTAATTACACAACAATGAAAAATAAATCATCAAAATTAAAGATAGGTGATTTTGAAATACAAAATACAATCTTAAATAATATGATGTATTGTAAATTATTTTTGTTTGTAATTCATAAATCATATTGTCATGTCCAACATAAATCTTCAAACTATCCAACGAGATCATGTGGCTATCAATTAGTCAAGGTTTTGACTGATCAACAATTTCGAATTTCATAAAATCATTATAACATGCATTGTTGATCTAAATTCTTCAATACAAAAGAATCATTTTAAAAAGTATAAAAACAGAACTACTACAATCACTTTTAGAAAAAAAACGAATTAACTAACAAAAGAAAAATGAACCAAATACATATCTTTTCTCTTCTCTGAAATCTACAACAAACAAGTGGGAGATGCATGATTCAAATCTACATAGAAAAATTTCAACATATTTACAATTTTTCGCTTTTGACTACCCTCCCCTTCCTAAGCCAAGCCCTTTCCCCAATTAAAAATTAAATGTTCCCAAGAATTTTTAATCTTGAGGGGGGATACTCGATGAGAGGTAGATTAGATGGTTGAGTTCCAGTGAGAAGAAGAGTTAAGGTGAGAAGCGTAATAATGGATCTCCACTCTTGGATGCACATTAGGATGAGATGTACCGAGGATGAGATGTACCGAGATGCACCCAAAAGGTTTTTTGAAAAACCTTGGGATATTGAGGTGGGACCATGAGAATTGAGTATACTCACATGGTGAATTTGTGGTTGAGTTTTAGTTGTCCCACATTGTTGAAGAGTTAAAAGATTTGAACAAAGTGAAGTGTATAAAAAGATGGATGGTGCCTTTGTGTCAATTCATAGGGTTTTCCTCGTAGAGTTGTTTTATTTTGGATGACCCTATTTGAAATCTTTAACCGTGGTTGGAATCAAAACCAACCAAATGGTAAAAATCATAGTACAAAACTAAAAGTGAAACTAAGGATGATGAATTGGCAACATGAGGATCGAGTATTCCTCAAATATTGATTAAAGTTCATTTTCATCATCTCAAATTGGTGGAAAGATGATGGATGTATAAAAGCATGATGGATGCTTTGAAACTTATAACCATGGTTGAAATCAAAACCAACTAATTGGTAAAATTATAGTACAAAACACACAATTAAAAACTTAATCTTTATATTATATATATAATAGGAAAATCTGGAGTATTGAGGTAGCACCATGAGAATTGAGTATTTTCAAATAGTGAATTCTGGTTGAGTTTTAGTTGTCCTATATTGGTAAAGAGTTGAAAGATTTAAATAAAGTGAAATGTATAAGAAAGATAGATTGGATGTCTTTGTGTCAAATCATGGGATTTACTTCATAAGGTTGTCTTTTTTTGGATGACACTCTTTGAAATGTATAACCATGGTTGGGATCAAAACCAACCAAATAGTAAAAATATTTATCTTTATTTTTATCTTTATATATATAAAAGGAAAACCTTGGGGTATAGAGGTGACACCATGAGAATTGAGTATTCTTAAATGATGAATTGTGGTTGAGTATAGTTGTCCCATATTGGTGAAGAGTTTAAAATTTGAACAAAGGGAAGTGTATAAAAAAGATGGATGAGATGTCTTTGTGTCAAATCATGGGGTTTGCATCATAGAGTTGTCTTATTTTGGATGACCATTTTCGAAATTTATAATCATAGTTAGAATCAAAACCAACCAAATGCTAAAAATTATAGTGCAAATATAAAAGTGAAACCGAGGATAACGACTTGGCAACATGAGGTTCGATTGTTCCTCAAATCTGAATTAGGGTTGACTTTTCATCATCTCACATTGGTAGAAAGATGATAGTTTGGAAGAAGATGATGGATGTTTAAAAGCGTGATGGAGCATTGAAATCTATAACAATGGTTGAAATAAAAAACAATCAATTGGTAAATTTTTCGCGTAAAACGAATGCAAATGATACATTTTTTTCTTAACAAAGTTGAGATTATTGTAGCATTTATAAAAAAAAAATATAGTTTAAGTATCTATTATATCACTTATATATACATAGAATGAAAATGTTGACTTAATGACGTGCTTTCATCTGATGTAAGTATTCTCCAAATCGTGATTTACGGTGTTGGATGAGGTGTTATAAATATAAATACAATCTAGAGTTTTCAGACACATCGCACTTCTGCTCGACTCGAGGCTTTTACGTCTTTTTCTTAAATTGAGTATTGATCACAGCGCAACGTCTAGTGTCGAACACTAGTTATACTAAAAGTTGAATAGACAAAACTACTCTTTATAGACAAATTTTTGAACAAAATGGGAAAAAAGTATGATTGGTCAAGATTGAGTTATATTAATTGTACAAATGACATAAATTACATTTGAAACGTCAAAGCAAAGTCTATGTAGTAATGATTAAACACTTGATGTATATTTAATGGATCTAAAATTGCCAAAAACATTGTATGTATTAATTTTTATATAACAATAATTATCTTGTTATACCACTGTCAAAAGGTTCTAGATTCACCACTGATATTCCATGCTATAAACAGGGGTGGATGCAGAAAATTTATCTAATGGGTGCCTAAAAAAATTCATGATTTCAAGGTTAAGAACACCCTTTCAAGTGTGTATGTTTTTAATTAAACACCAATCCTGAAAAATAGTTGTAAAAAAGAGTTGAAAAGTATAAATGACCTAAACAACATGACTATATTTGTATTTATACAAACAAATACAAAATATATATAAATAAGAAAACCCCAATTAAACTTTACTCCATGGGGGGCTCCACTCATGATTAAAAAAACATATCTTGTTGTGTAAGTAGTTGCATTGCAATTATAAGAGAAAAGAAACACAAGCCTTTTTGCCACCCCCGCCCCCCACCCAAAAAGAAAAGGGAAAGGGAAAGGGAAAGGGGAAAGGGAAAAGGGAGAGATGGCAGGCCACTGTATTGCACAATTTATGGAATCCAACATCTTAGGGGCAACAAGACCCATCACTCTCTATACCAACACTCAAGTGAGCATCAAATTCATTTCTTTTTTTCAATTATTTTATCATATCCTCGATACAATTCCAATTATAATCGGTGTTTTATGTTTTTTGTAGAGATATAATCATCTCTGCTCATTATCGATGAACGGTTGTCAAGTTCGAAACCCTATAACTCCCCTTGGGATGACTGAAACTCGCACTTTTTCACCGGTTTCGTCACCTGCCATGGCCATGGACCGATTAAATTCCGCAATTATAAAGTTGGGGTGCGACCCACCGGTGTTCGAGTCCGGAATCATAAGGCTCCAGGTAAGGAACTCTGGGTTTTCTTTTTCCCCTTCCAATGTGGTCTTATCTATTGCAATTATGGGTAATGGGAATGTGCCACGTGGTTGGTTGTCATTTGACATGTTGTCACTTCCCATTCTTTTCTTACACAAGTGATGGAGAAAATGATTGGAAAGTTGATAAGCTTTTGGTCTCAAAGTTTTAGAAAGTTATTTAAAAGAAGTAATCCAAATTTATCTTTTTATTAAATATAATATTCGTAATATTAATTCTGACTTTATATTAGGTCATGTTTAACATTAATAAGCTGGGTTACTTTTTGATATTATTGTGAAAATTTCGTCTGATATGTTTTTATCTGGTTTTATGAAAAACTGTTTTATACATTGTTTTGATAAGATTAGGGGTGTTTTTTTCCGTTATTTTTCAACATTTCTTTTTAAATCATTTTATATTATTAAGTTTTTCATCTGTAAACGAAAACGAAAACGAAATTCTCCTCTTCTAAAATCATATTTCAGATATTGGGGTTTTACATATTTTAATTTTACTAGAAGAGTGCTCATATAATATAGCGAGATATATCTTAATTTTAATGTTTCATTTTATTATTTATCTTTATCGAGATAATACGATTTTTAATGGTTTTGAGAAACTGATAATGTTTTTATTTTTAAATAAAATATAAATTTAAAGATATCATAAATATTTTGAAAAAAAGATATATCGATAATAATACCAAATTTACTATTTAAAGTTTTTATTTTTTTTATATTAATTTAATATTTTATTTATAACTTAATTTATATTTAATGACGAAATAATTTATTTATCATTTAATAATATAATATTTTATAAAGATAATAATTAAGTTATTTGTTATAACTAATGATTATTCTAATTATATTTTAAATTTTTTATATTCATAAATCAAAATGAAATGTTTATCCCGTATTTAATTATGTCTATTTTCAGTTAGTTACACAAATTTAAAAATAAAGCTTTAATAAGTTGTACTTACGTACAATTTACTTATAATCTTAAATTTTAAGTAATATGTATCAATAAATAATATTTTATATATAAAAATGACTTTTAAAATTTTTTATCATATGTTTTACAATATAGTAAGATTTATTTTCTTCACGATGACACGTGATAATTTAGGTCTGGATATTTTTATGGAGGGAAAGTCTGAATACGAGGATAAAAACTAATTGTACAAGCCATTTTTTTCTGTTAAGCCGCCGTTATAAATAACTGTCAATGTATGACTGAAGGAACAGGATCCTGTTAACAAACAACAAACTGGTCTTTCATGTAAATAGATGAAATTTTGGTTTTTGGAATTGAAGTTAGTATGTGATTATGTTACAATGGCATGTGAAGTTAATTGAAGTTTTGAATGGAAGGTTCCAATCGAACAGCAAATAGAAGCAATCGACTGGCTACGTGGTCAGCAACAATTTCAGCATCTTCCTCGATGTTTTTTCTCCGGAAGAAGGCAACCAAGAATCAATGGAAATGATTTATTTGATTACGACACCAATAATCGGGATTCATCTCCGGTCAGCATTGCTGGTTTGGGATCCGCTGTCTTCTTTCGCCATTTCACCCCCTTTTCACTCCATGATTGGCGATCTATTAAGAGGTAGTATTATCTCTCTCTATTCCATGCATATTCTGTATATTTTATTGTGTTCCTTTTTTATTCTGTTCTACTTAAGGAATCGAAATTGAGAAGCCCTAAATATTTATTTAGTTTACACCAATTTGGAATACCAATTGAATTAGTCGAAGATCACCTACTGGCAGTGCTTACAAGGATTTTCGAGTGTCGATGCTTCTTCAGATAAGCGATTGAATCTATGTGTCTCTTCATATTGTACTTTATCTAGTAATTCCTTGGTATATTTGGAGAATGTTGTTTGTAATGGTTTGGTGATATCGGTCGTTAGGACAAAATAGAGATGGGTACTAAAAGAAGTTAAAACAGGCGTGACCAAATGCTTTTACAATGCATTGTTAAGGACTCGGTTCTTGTATTCTTTTTGACCTGCTAGGATTTCCTTAAGTGAAAATACTTGCTGAAATATTACCAAGAGCATCTATGCTAGGTTAGAAAGAATAGCTATAAACATGCCATTCAGATGCTTTTGGTTACCAGAAGCACCACCCTGAACATGCTTTTCCTTGTAAGAAGAAGTAAGTTTGAAACTTGAAATACCTTCAATCGCTTTTTGTTACCCAACACGTGTTCTATTTATATAGGCATGATCGACTTCAAATAAACTTAAAGAGGTTTGCAGTCTCTTTTAGCACTCCATCATTTATTAGCTCTTTTCCCATGAAACATATGTTGCATCTTGTTCAATTCCTCATTCGCCAGCAAGCATGGAACATATGTTTTCTAAATCAATTTTGTCTCATTTTCATCAAGTAAATTCTTTAGGGAGATACGTATGGTATATTGACCTTTGGTTCCATTGCTAAATTAGATGCTTTTAGATTTTCCATTCGCTTTCTTTATGTTTTTTAACCCATCTAAAATTTAAGAACTTAAACTAAAGGTTCCTTTCTAAGAAGTGCCCATTGATTCGTGCTTATGGAGCCATCCGCTTTGATGCATTGGCTAATATATCATCTGAATGGGAAGCTTTTGGATCATTCTTCTTCATGATTCCACAGGTAAAAGCAACTTGTTTATTCTGGGACAGTTCTCCCCCACCCCCACCTCTAGTGTAGCATGTATGGATGCCTCATGCTTGGTGATTGAAACTACAGGTTGAGTTTAATGAGTTTGAAGGAAGTTCAATGCTAGTAACTACTATTGCCTGGGATCAATCCCTTTCATGGACATTTAAGAAGGCAGCACATGCACTTCAGGCAACCATGGGACAGGTTCATTTCCTGCCAAGTTTTGCTTTTGAGGAGGGTCAATTGGGCAGTCTGCTATTACTGATTCTGATTAAAACATGCTTGTGTATTGATGCAGGTTTCATCCAGTATTGTAAAATTACGAAAAGAGGTTCCTACTACATCCATTCTTAGCAGCAATAATGTTCCCAGTAAGAAATTGTGGGATTTTGGTGTTAATAGAGCATTACAGATGATAAACAAAAACAACTCACCACTTATCAAGGTATTATATCAGCTATTGCTTAAATGATGTAGCTTTACTTGCTTATAGTTCTAAGAGCAGCTCAATGTGTTACTCCTGAATTATAGTTTTAAATAAGAAAATGACATAAGAACCAAGCAACTCACACTTTGCAACCCATTTCCTCTCGAATTACTAAAACAGGCATGAATGACGGCAAACTTTTAAAATTAATATATTTCCTCCCTTCTGTTGGTGGATCACTTATTTTCTGTCCGTTATGCCTCTGTGGCAAGCTTTATATTTGTTTCTTAAGAAAAGGATGACAGAAAACCGATGGACCTTCACATTCTAAGCCATTTCCCCTTGAATTACAAAGATCAATAACAAAAACAACTTTAAAAATCACATGTTTTCCCTTCAGCTGATGGATCTCTTGCTTCTCTATCCAACTTTTATTTTGAACTATATTAATTGGAAAATATTTTTATTAAAATTGTTTCCACTTCCATGAATAAATGATTATCATTGTTTTTTTTCTATTTAGCTTCACACCTGCACTTGTTCATCCCACACCATCAATATCTATAGTATTCTTTATTGCTCTCCTCACTCATTTGGGTTTTTTAGGTTGTGCTTGCACGTAGCAGCATAATTAGGACCTCGGCTGATATTGATCCTTTGACATGGTTGGCATCTTTACAGGTGCTCTTTCGTTTATTCTTTTTCTTTATTTGATGTCCTATCACTATTTTGTGCACCATAGGCATGATTTCATGAATCAGTTAAGTTTATTAATCATGATATGTAGGTTGAAGGTAAAAATGCTTACCAGTTCTGTCTTCAACCTCCTGATGCGCCGTCATTTATTGGGAACACTGTAAGTGCAGCTATTTACTATAAAAAGTTCTATAAATTATCATCACAATCCAAAAAAGTACTTCATGAACCTGATAGTGAGGTAATCCTTCTATGTTCCGTTAATCACTTACTTGAACCTTCATGAATAGCCAGAGCAATTATTTCATCGGAACAGATTTGACATTTATAGCGAAGCAATGGCTGGAACCCGAGCTAGAGGTGACTCAAAGGCCCTGGACCTGCAGATTGAACTGGATCTACTTTCCAGGTTGTTGCTGGAATTGAGATTGCTCTACCTGAATCACCTTTGTGTTGTTATGTATTGTGTTTGCTCATGTAGATGTATGTGTGCGTGTGTCCGTGTTTTTCTCCATTGGAAACCATCAGGTTTTATGGATTAAGTTTTAGATTAGTGTAATCCTTACTTTTCCTTTTCATTCCCTTTCCCTTTTGCAGCTCTAAGGATGATAATGAGTTCGCTATAGTGCGGGAGTGCATAAGAAGAAAACTAGAGGTAAATGTGGAACATTACTGGGTGGGGAGTTATGAGTAGTTCTAGTATATTTGGATTAAAAATGCTAATACAATCATGTATTTGCCAAATGAATGTATTCTACTCTGTAGGCTGTATGTACAACAATATTGGTTGAACCAACGAAAACAATTCGAAAGCTCCCAAGAGTACAGCACCTTTACGCCCGATTAAGAGGCAGACTGAGAAGTGAAGATGACGAGGTACACTTTGTAATGTAATTCATAGGCCAAGAAGATACATTATATTATAAAAAACCTCACCAAAGTTGAGGTGGGTGTGTGAGTTCATTTGACGTATATAAATATTATATACTTAATAAAAATATATTATATTGAACAAGACGGTATAGACTACATATATGGGTTGACTGCTCACATATTTGATAGAAAGGCTACTAAAAGATCCAATATCTCTAATATTCACACTCAAATTACTATTTTGCATTCAACAATACTACTGAAGACTTGTGTAATATAGCAGTCATATTCATAAATTTGGTAAAATCCTGACTCCTGAGACAGTTATTCCTTTGCACCATCACCATGAAGGGTTTTCACGAAGACAGCAACTTATTATTTAACATGAGCACAAAAGGTAACAAAAGTAATAAGATCCTAGCATGATATCTTTATATATATATATATATATATAATCTGTTGTAACTCTTCTTTAAATATCCTCACCTAGGCGGTGGAGGATTTTAATAATAAAACTTCAAAAGCGGTAAAAGCTTTTGTCCAATAGAAATAACTTTGGGCGGTGGGTTTTTACATTATAAAATTCATGATTTCTTAACCATGAAGATATAATGATTTCAATAATAAAATAATGATTTCACCCGAATCATTTAAACACAATAAACACCACCTCATGTATGCTTCACACCACATGCATACATGTATAAATCATWTATGKCATGYCATMTTTTCACATATATGCATGCACAATATCATGTTCACATATATTGTTCATGCATTTCTACTTTGGTATGCATATTTCACGTAATCCACATAATAAACATGTATAAATTACCTCAATTCTAGGTTGTCTCAAACCTGGTTATAACATTCTTCCCCTCTTAAAAGAATTCCGTCCCGGAATTCATTCAAATAACCATGGATATTTTTTCTTTCATTTCAGATTCTAATTCCCATGTTGCTTCTGATCCTTTGTGAAATAACATTTAAAAACAAAGATTTAAAGCACTAAGTTTGCTTCTCAAAGATGTAAAGCTTATTTTCCAAACTCATAAATTCATAAAAGATTTTTCATAAATAACCAGCATCTTCTGGTTCCATTATGAGGGTCAATCAGAGCCCCTCTGGTCCTTGCAAGGTATAACCAGAGCTCCTTTGTTCCTTGCAAGGTATAACCAAAGCTCCTCTGTTTCCTCATAATCAATGCTTTTACMCAAAGCATCAACARTCACGAATTATATTATCTCCAATACCATYACATCATTACCATCATTTCTACTAAAGACAACATCTCTAAATCCTCAAATCACCAAGAAGTRAGAACTCYAATCTGTTGTAACTCTAATAGTTATCATGGTAAGAGTTAGGCGATGCCGAAAACGTCCCACCTTATATCCTCCAGATTCTCTCCTTTGCATGATGTTCCACCGTTATATCCTCCTGCTCATTAATATGAAGTAGTTCATCCAAAGACAGACCTCAGTCACATGTCAGAGTGAACCTATTCATAATCCTCAAACCAATATCATGGTTCCAACATAGGTTTATACTCAAAACCTTTTATTCTCAAGAACAATCCGTTCTCCCAAAACAGTTTAAAACTCTTGTTTTTCTGTAAACTCTTTCAAACTGTTTTAAAAACCCGGATACTATTTAATTCTCTCCAAAACAGTTCCAACAATAGATTCAAACAGCAACTTCTCAAGGCTGTTGAAGAACACAAATCTGTTTCATATTTATCAAAATCAGATTCCAAAATAACATCATAAAACTGTTAAAAACAGTTTATCATCTTATCCTCAAAAAACCCAATATCAAACTCAACAGTTGATACACAAATATATGAGGAAAATAGTTTCAAAACCACTCACAGTTTATAATCAACGGTAGTTAGGCTATGCCGATATCGTCCCACCTTATATCCTCCCAATAATCCCCTTTAAATGATGTTCCACCCTTATATCCTCCYRYTCATTAATATGAAGTAGTTCATCCAAAGACAGACCTCAGTCACATGTCAGAGTGAACCTGTTCATAATCTTCAAACCAAATCATGGTTTCAACATAGGTTTATACTCAAAACCTTTTATTCTCAAGAACAATTTGTTCTTCCCAAAACAGTTTAAAACTCTGTTTTTCTGTAAAACTCTTTCAAACTGTTTTAAAACCCAGATACTGTTTAATTCTTTTCAAAACAGTTCCAAAATAGATTCAAACAGCAACTTCTCAAAGCTGTTGAAGAACACAACTCTGTTTGATATATATATATATATATATATATATGATTTGTACAAATTGGGTGGTTTTTATTTGAACGTTCCTTTATATATATATATATATATATATATATATATATAACCAAGTAACTCCAGAAAACTCATCCACAAAAGCAACAGAAAACCTAAATCCCCCAATATACTCCAAAAGACAAGGACTCCAAATGCCAGAATCAGCTAGACTGTTTGTTCTTGTCATTCTTATTTGGTGTTAAACTTTTATATGCTAGGATGAACAATATATGTTGCTCGCCCTTGTTGTTTGCCAAATACTTAAAAAAGTCTTCTCTCTCTGCAGTTTGACATTTTATCTTCACTTCATCCAACTCCAGCTGTCTGTGGATTCCCTACTGAAGAGGCACGAGTTCTGATAGCAGAAACTGGTACATGTATATTCCTTCATCTTCTTCTCTGTTATGTCATGCCATGGTTTTCTCTTTATGTTTTCATTGATTGCCGAATACCTTCTTCCCTTTCACTTCCTGCTATCATCAAAATGATTCTTATACCAGCAAAATTTTATGGTACTAATGGTGATCAGTTGGTGCTGATGTGCAAGCTATTTGATTATGACTGTCACACTATTAGTTGAGTGATGCAAGGGCGATCAGGAGTTTCAGTTCCTTTCCATGCTGAATATTAATTGTTTTAAGCATAAAATTAATGCAAGAACGGTCAAAGTGAAAATCTTAATACATAATATGGTACAATTGTCTCAAGCATGATTTAAGTGATTGCTAACCTTGTGCAGCTACCATGATTAATTTACACCTCTCCGAACTATTAATGTTATTATTTAATTAATATACAGCAAGCATCGAACGTGCAAATCTTAACACACTCTTTCTCTATTCAAGTAGCTTGCTAGCCACAATTTGTGCAATGGCAGCTTAGAGTTGCATCCTTACTAAAATTATTATATTGTTTCTTTATTTCTATTTTTACCTTTGTGTTTGCCCTTGACTGGTGGATTCTGACCTTCCTCATTAGTATGCAATGTTGTCTTTCAACCTATGCTGTTACAGCGATCAAAATTTGAAATAGCGGTCAGGACCGTGATTTGATAAAGCGGTGGTATAACGGTCCACATGTAGCGGTTCTCGTAATCATTACAATTATATATAAATGTATGAATAGATGCATAACATAACATATAGCTTGAAGATGAGAACATGTGAATAGAAGCGATGAGCAATCAATGTTGGAAGACAATGTTGTTGTGAAAAGAAGATGCAAATATATAGACCGGAATAGAAGAGATGAGAGAAAATAGCGAGTTTACACACCAATATTGCAAATGAAAATCAGCCCCCTAGCTAGTAATCCCTTAATCGACTTCTCTAAACTCTTTAAAAGGCCAACTTAAAGCCCAACTCCTAATTGCGGTTTTCACTATGCTATTGCAAGTCAAAATTGCGGCCCAATTGGTGATTAGCGCTGCTATTAGCGGAACCGCTATTTCCCCTAGGACCGCTAATCGCTATAGCACATATTTCACCGCTATAGCACCGCAATTAACAACATAGCTTTCAATTCATATGAAGAGAGAAAAAACAAAGGAAAAAAGAGGAAAATTCGATGGGATCTTACATCCTCCCATTACATGTGTATAAAACTCTTTTCAGATGAAGGACCTAACCTTGGAAATGAAATTTGATAAGAGAAAATTGAAACCAAATACAAGATAAGTGATTGCTATTAGGTCGCCAAAATGCACAAACCAATACTTCTTTTGATACCTAAACTGATTTGCGGAAGTATATCCAAGATCTTTCTCCACTACTCTAGGTCATTTGCTGCCATTTTAAGTTAAAAACCTATACATAAGTTCGACATCCTTTTTCTACGCTTTTGGAAGTATATAATAATATTTATATATGGCAAAGCACACACACTCCTTGCCATTGGTGACCACCTTCAAGAATGTGGGGTTACCAGATACTGCTGGGCCAATAGCCCTTTGATGGTTGCTAATGAGTCATTTACTGTTTATATTATCTATTGTGCTTGTTCGATCCTTCATGAGAATTTGTGCTGCACAGAAATGTTTGACCGAGGAATGTATGCTGGTCCAGTTGGTTGGTTTGGAGGAGGAGAGAGTGAGTTTGCTGTCGGTATACGTTCAGCCTTGGTTGAAAAGGTGAGTAAAGAAGTTCCTCACATGTGACATTTGCTCATGCTTGCTATCTTGTGTGTGTGAGCAAGGTGTCCCATTTATTCTATTTTTCTCTATTAGATGACATCAATATCCTGAAGCACATCAGCGTGAACTTCAGTATGGAAATTATGGGTATTCTTATTTTACATTTTGAGTATTCTGCTTTATACTAAGGTAGATATTAACTCAAGTCAGGGACAATGGCATATTTTTTATGGATTGTCATGTCAATTACAATCATGCTTGCAGTTTCATGATACATTTATTTCTCTAGGGGCTTGGAGCATTAATCTATGCTGGGACAGGGATAGTGGAAGGAAGTAGTTCATCACAAGAGTGGGATGAACTGGAACTGAAGACATCTCAGGTTTGAGTGTTTCCTTTTCTGCATGTTAATGTTACTTTTTTGTTTCCCAAATACCATTTGAAGTGCTTGAAGGCCTTGGAACTAGTGTTAGACCTGTCAATGGGTTGGGTCTTTGATCTAAGATTCAATTTGATCATATCCAGTTATGTGATCTAACAGATCGAAGAACCTGATCCATTGATCCAATAATTGACTTTTTTACGGATCAATGATTGGGTCAATACATTTAAATGGTAAAAACATTATCTTTATTTTATATATTTTTTCTAATGTTGAAGTCACATCTCACATTTCATTCATCATCTTTTTTCACTTTAAACATGTCATCTGCTCCCCCAACCCAATCTTCCTCACTATTTGATGGTGGTACGATGTGTAACGTAATTTTGATTTAAACATTGTCCTCTAGTTCACCAAGCTGATGAAACTGGAGGTGCTCTCTCTTGATACAAAGAAGACGATGTTATTTGAAAAGTAAAACTAAAAAGTGTAAAGGTTTGTGATTCTAACTATAATCCTTTATCATGTAATATCTTTCATGCATTGGTGTAGTTTTCTTCCAGAAATCACATTAGTTTGAGTGTTTATCAAAGATTTGTTCATAAATCTTGATTTGTACAAATTTACTACAGTAAGGACCAACCCGATTTCTTTTCCCAAATATTAGCTTGTTTAATATTTTTAGAACTAAATTAAACTGGCCAATTAAGTGATTAAGATATTGGATATGTCAAATTGTATATCTAAGTTATTTTTTAACCATAATTGATGATGGTGAAACTTCAGGGACCAGATTATATGTCGTGTGGACTGACCAATCATCACCTGATGCCTGTCTTCATTCATTCACCTAAGGTGCAGATGCCAATGCAGGTGACAGGAGCCGAATGTTGAATTTCGCCCCCACCTAGGAAGATTATTTTGATGAAGATAGCTTTCTTTTTGCTCATCAAATGTTTAAAGTTTGAATGATCACCAAATCAATTACAAGTAGATAGTTTTGTTTTTGTTTTCTTTTTGCTGAACAGCCAAAATAGTTATGATCTTTGGCTGGTTTTACCTCTTTATTGACTATTATTTGGGTTTGAAACCCTGCTTCATTTAATACATCAATACTTGTATATTTAGCCATGTTTTGGGATTAAAACCTTTGAGTACTCCCAACATTTGCATTTTCCATATTAACCTAGTTTTACTTCTGCACCAGCCCTTTGATCTACACTTTATGACTGCCCAAATACAAGACAGGTCCTGGGTCTGATCCTCCCCCCCCCCCCCCTGCGTCGCTAGCCTCAGCCGCTATGCCCTCACATTGGTGTCCTTGGAGGCGGGTTCTGTGTGGGGCCGGTTGGAGTTGCCGTGAATCAACTTTTTCCCAAATATACCAGTAGACTAAAAGACAAGAAACTGTTTACATAAGAAATTTACTTATAGCTAAAATAATATATACAAACATTCTAGGAATATCTAGTTCCCCTGTTTGAAGAGAAGAGAGATGAGATTAGGGGGAAAAGAAAGCATTAACACATGCATTTTGCATTACGAAATCTATTATGCCATTAAAGAATTGGAGTTTATGCATAAAAGCTAACATGGGGTGTGTTCAACACAGTTAAGAGCACCAGAAAAGCGAGTAAGGCTGCTGACGTATGATCCAGGCTTTGGACTAATCATATCTTCCGTCATTTTAAACTTGTGTCCAGGATCCCCAGATTGTACAAAGAAGGCTCCATTAGTCAGAAGATCTCCATCTGACTTCCATATCCAGTGTTTCCATTCACTTTCAGGTGCATGAGTCCTTTTTGTCACCTGAACCATTAATATGTATACATTAGACTCAATTAGACCCTTTCCAGACCCCCACCTCCGGGTGGTACGTGTTTGGTTAGACCCAATTAGATGTAGTCAAACAAGGGTTTACCTCTTTGGCATTTCGGTCAGCAGGGGCTACGAACCGGTTGCCCTGGCATAAGATTGTAGGATGACTGCTGCCACCGATAGCATACATGAGCCAGTGTGTGTAGTCATTGTTGAGAATATGAGCAAACCCGAATCGGCATCTTGGCATTCTTTGCACCAAACCTTTGCCAAAATGGGTAAATACTACAGTTACTTGCATTATCTCATCCTGTGGATTGGTGTCACTTGCTCCAAACAACAGTACCTGCATAACCATCACAAATACTTTAGGTGGACAAATATGTAGCAGTTTTTTATTTGGTTAGGGTTTGTTTTAGGAAATAGGAGCAGGTTTAGGATTAATTACATCATTGTGGTGGGTGAAATGGCAGTTGGAGATGGTAACTGCTGTACTACAATTCACAAGGTCTATGAGTCCATCTTGACAGTTGGACATAGAAATATGATCAATCCACACATTTACGGCCCCGAACAATGATATCCCGTCACCATCACTTCTCGTACGGAAACCTTGATGAGTTGTTGAATCTCTGATGATCCCACCATTTGCTGCCTTTATATCATGAATCTTGAGGCTATGAAGGATTATATTTTGCACAAACTGTAGAGTAAGACCTGCTCCATGTGCTATGTGCACTTGGGCCCCACGACCATCGATCGTCTTATTGCCGGTCATGATCAACTCTTGAGCCAACTGAATCACCATATCACGCTCGAATATTATCCAAAGGGGTTCTAGTTGAATTACAGCATGTCGTAGAGTTCCTGGCTTAGGGTTAACCATGTCGTTATCAGATGGATCTGTGACAACGTAGATCTTCCCATCTTTCCCACCGGTGGCTTTCCGGCCAAACCCTTGAGCACATTCGGCTAGCTTCTGTCGGTTTTTAGCCCAGTTTCTGTCGCACCTCCAGCACTGGTCGATCGGGTTCGTGGTCATGCATGGCCCATTGTACTTTTTGTGCAGTTTCCTCGTGTTGTTTCTTCTCCCTGTTACAGTCCTTCGCAAGAACAAAACAAAATTGTCATGCTTGATTGCATGGAAATAAAACACCATTTGATTTTGTTTGGTTTTCGTTTGAGAAAATGTCAAGTTTAGTATTCAATGCTGACATTTTAGATATATTGAGCTTGTTTGGTTTTAGTTTAAATAAAATGTCTATTTCAATATCCAACAGGGGCAATGACTATGTGAATGTGTACTTTGAAAGTACGTTTTCCGAAATGGATTTTTTTTTTCAAACTATAGATTTTGAAATACACAATTTTCAAACTACAACATCTTAAATAAGACTTATGAAAAATGGTTTCCCAAAACATGAACCGGATGTTTCATATTAATGTATTTTGTCTAACCTTTCACAAGTAGTATATGTATTATCATAAATGAAAAGTAGAAGTCGTTGGATTTTACACATACAATAAACCCGATGCATTTACATATTTTTGCATAGTATATCTGTTTTTATTTCGATAAACGAATAAATGAAACAAAAAAAACGGCACTGAAAGATAAGAACCTTACAAATGAACTTCATGGTTAAGTTGGTTGATGACTTCCTCGGGCTTAGAACGGTACGCAACACGAGCACTGCTCTTTGCTTCTTCGGCTCGTTTTTGCCAAAATTCATCATAATGGGCAATATTCGCCTCTATCGTCGGAACGGAAAAAATAAAAAACAAGAAACAAAACCTAATTCCCTCCATTTTCTTAACTATTTCTACCTATTTCTTTCTTGAATTTACTCCTAAAAACCTAAATCTAACCAGGGTTAAGTTAGCCCAAAAAAACCATTTTTGTACCTACAAAAATGGTTACATATGGGTTGGGTTCTATGAAAACTTTTTGGGATTCAAGAGAATTAAATAAATAAAAAAGTGAAATTGGAAAGTTGGGAGGAAAGAGAGGAGAACCATTGGTCAAACTTAGTCAACTTGATCCTTTGGATGCAAATGAATCAACTCTTTAAACCATGCATGCAAATTGCAATTGCAAGGCCCATATTTTTAAGAAAATCCCCTTCTCACAATTTATAATTAATTGCAATTTGTGGGTCAAAATTTTATATTATGGAAAGTGTAATTACATTTTTTATAGCATGGTAACAAAATATGTTGTATTTAGGGTTTAGGACTATGGTGGATATATTTTTAAGTCATCTTTTTTAAATACCAGGAGTTTAATTAAAATTTCATACCTTTTTACACATTTATGCCAAAGATAGAATCTTTAACATCAGAACAGGTCATTTGAAGGTTACTGAATTAAATTCTTGTTTTTTACACAAAAAAAAAAACTTCTCTAAGATCATTTAGGAGCTGTTTAATTGGGAAAATTTTGATTGGGAGTTCTTTTCGTAGATGAAAAGAGGGTGTTTCTTAATTGGGTGGGACGAGTTTGGAAAAAACTTGATTTTTCCATTTAGAAGCTTGCTAAATAAGTCACTTTATATAATATTAGACCACTACCAAACAATCATGTATAACCGATCGAATAAATTGCAGGTCTTATCAAGCATTAAGTTGATAAGAAATATTATTGTTATATATGTATCTTCTTTTAGAGTTGACATCATGAATAACTAATGATTTACAACATTATTATAAGCCATAAATGGTTTAATTGGTAATGCAACATTTGTGGGGAATTGACATTTTGAGGCCACAAGTTTTATAGTTGACTTTAAATGGATGTCAAAATTAGTCAACACATTTGAATTTAAAAGGTTGAAGTCACACCCTTCCACTTTAAAACACATCTCCTAATTTCATGAGAATCCAACCTCATTCAAATTAAGGGATTCCCAAGTTTGGTAATCCAATTTTCTCATATTAGTTGCTGTGTTTTTTTTAGCTTTTTAACGTGTTCGGGAAATGAAAATTGTACAAAAATACAAATAAAGTCGGTACGAGGAGTTGAGGAATGGGAGAGATTTGAAAATGGCACGACAACCGAAGAGAAAGAGCATGAAAAGAAAGAGAAACACGAGGGCAAAGAGGACGGAAGCGGAGAAAAAGGCGAGGAAAAGGCTAAAGATGAGAAGAAAACGAAGGACGATAAGAATGACAGTCAGGGTGGAAAGAAGATGGAGGAAAAGAATACTGAAAATAAAACGGACCCGACAAAGTTAAAAGCCGAGCTTAACAAGATCGATCCCAAATTCATGCACTCAACGTAATACGAGAATAAATACTCAAAATACCGAAGGAAAAAAAATCTAAATTATTGTTCCTTCAAAAAATACATTATTAGATGGACATATGATATAGCTGTAAGACTGTTAATCATTTGTCAAATTTGTGCATTTATATTCTTAATAATCTAAAACTATCAAGTATGAATATAGCCTGAAATTACACATATACCCTCAACCAAGGGATGTATTGATGAACATGACCTACACGTTATATTGAATTTAGCAACAAAAAAGTTTTAGATGAACAATTGTTGTACTCTTTAACATAGAATTCACATATTTATACATCGTACCTTCCAGACCTTTACCCCCCGGATAAAACATACTGGGCTCGTTTGATTATGAATTTAATACATTTTGATATAGTATGATCAAAAAGGTCCAAACAAAATGAAGTAAAAACTATAGGCAAATCAATATAACACAAAGCCATACACTTCACACGTAAAATGGAGTTCACTCAGAACTTGAGGGGCGAAATTGTAAATCAGCTGGCGGCCGAACCCTGAAGAAGTCCATCACGTATCTGAGCAGCGACATCACGAACCGCACCGGGCCCGTGAGGAATGAACACGGCCGAGGATTTAGAGGATGCACCGATTTCCTTCATGGTGTCGAAATACTGAGTCACAAGAACCATGTCCATAACGTCTTTCGCAGTGGTTCCAGGAACATTGACCGCAAACCCCAACACGCTGTCTCTTAAACCGTCGACAATGGCTTGCCTCTGGCGTGCAATGCCCAACCCCGACAGGTATTTGGACTCGGCCTCCCCCTCGGCTCTTTTGATTTGGAGGATTTTCTCGGCCTCGGCTTTTTCAGTGGCTGCCATCCTCATTCTTGCAGCTGCAGATAATAAAACGCAACTAAAATGGGCTTCGTTTGTTTGATCATTTAGTCTTTATCAGTTCGGGCCAATCTATAAGGTTTAAGGATAAATCAACATTCGATTGTGGGTCCATGTGTGAAGAAATATGTAGCAAGCTGTCCCAAATGGATAGGAAAATATGATTCGTGAGTTCCTTATAAGCTCAAAGTTTCGAGCTACCACTAACTTCCATCATGGTTTTTAGTTGATTTAGAGGTTATTGGGTTAGCCAAGCTATGAGACATTGCAAAATAAATATGGGACCTGCATACAAGAGAATGGCATTATTCGCTTTGTAGCAAGGCCATGTTTGACAACGATAAAAGCCAGCTTAAATTTTTGGAGCTTATCAAAAAAACTCCGTTTGGTCAGCCTTAGGGGCCGTTTACTAAACACTTACTTTGGTAAGTGCTTAACACATAAATTTCCTCATTGGATGAATATGAGAAGGGCCAAGAATCTTACAAGGTAAGAGCGATGAGAAAGAATGAAAGATGACGAGTCTTACCCGGTTAGTGAGGGTGACGACTCTTACCCAGGTAATAGCTTGTCTGGTAAATTGTTGCATTCGATATGCTTTGATATACTAAAATCTTACGCATCTAAATAAATTATAGTGTTGACTTCTACTGGTAAGCGCTTACTTGGTAAGCGCTTACTGGGTAAGCATTTGGGTAAACGACCCCTTAGACAAGCTTATATGCTAGCTCTTTAAAAAACTACTTCAAGTAGTGCTTCAATAAGCTCCAAGGACCTTTTCTACTTTTTTCCAATTATGATCCTTCCAATTAGTCCTCTTAAGTCATTTTACATTATCGTCTAGCTGATATAGATATTTTATATGGTCAAAAGTTTACCAGCATTGATCTCATTCATTGCTCTCTTCACATGCTCATCTGGTTCTATATCAACAATCAATGTCTGAACTATCTCATATCCATATGCAGACATAGCCTGCAAGCAACGTTCACGTTTACAATCAAATCAAGAATCAGGGTTCATCAACATCAAAATTTGAAGAAGAAAAAACCCGTGTATCAATTCAAAAATATGCATCATTACTTTTTCAAGTTCTTCTTCAACAGCCTTGGCAATTTGATTCTTTTGCTCAAAAGCATCATCCAGATTGAGTTTTGGAACAAACGCTCTTATAACTACAAATGGAGAACATACCATATCAAGAGGATACTACAATATGAAGATAAAATCTATATGTTGATGAAGGTTACCATCGAAAACATAGGCCTGGATTTGGGACCTTGTGTTGCTGAGTTTATAGAAGGCATCACTTGCCTTGTCAGCCAGAGCACGATATTGTATGGAGGCCACGACGTTCACAAACACATTATCCTGAAAAACCAACATAAACTGTTTTAGTAGCTCAACTATAAGTATGTTTCAACAAGTAAAAAATGAACATTGGACATGAAAAACCATATGGCTGTGTTTAGCAAACTAGCTGATAAGCTAGCTGTTGGCTGAAAAGCTAGTTGTTAGCTCATAAACTAGTCACATTTAGTAAAAACTAGTTGATAAGCTACATTACAATGAAAAATGACCTAAAAGGACATGTTAAAATATTATTTCAATTAACATATAGAAGACATAATTGACAAATAATTTTTGAAAAGAACCCCTGAAGCTTATTGAAAAGCCATCTGAAGTAATTTTTCAAAGCTTAGCTTGTAAGCTAATTTACGGTATACCAAACGAGACTTGTGGGAATTAGACAAAAAATAAGGTGACTTATGGTTCCGAAACATGGTCTATATAAACGATGTATACAAGCAACATACCATATTACTATGTAATAGCTTGTTAAACTATGCGTCGAATTTTAAAAATACCCAAGTCTCAATATCAATCTTAGATTGAAGTAAGTGAATTCATGTTAAAATGAAGATTGTAGATGATTTTAAATAGGGGAAATATGCAAAATGAATGGGGAAAAGACCTTCGTTTTAGTCTCGCATTTTACATCCAACTGCTGAACTCTTAGAGTAAGATGACCAGCAAGCTGACTTCCAAATATCCAAGGGACACAATGACATCCAGGCTCCAAAACATCAGCAAATTTTCCAAAAGATTCCTTGATGGCAACAGTGGATTGGTCTACCTGAACCAAACAGAATAGGTTTCCCATGATCTTATACCAAAAAGCTGTTCAAGGGGACTCCTGCACAGGCATTTCCACAAAAACCTTAGTTGCAAAAACAGAATGCAACTTGAATTCAAGATTCAAGCCCTTATCTAACAAAATATTCACATGATGACGATTAGATACAGACCACATTGATTAAATCATTAAATCTTAACCAATTAGATTCTTAAAAACCTATAATCAATTAGGAAAATTGCATAACAGTGGCAAACCTGAAGAACTGATTTCAGAGCCTAGTATAAACTATCTTGGCCCCAGGATCTAGAACATATATACAAGTATATTAGAACGAGTATTATTTTATCGAAATTCCATCATCAATTACAACCATGGTTTTAGAAGCCCATAACGCAATCTACATCCAAGAACTCAAATTCTTAATTACCCGAGTTGAAAGAAGTCATGGCATTAAAAGAACACGAAACCCTTTTCAGAAACATCGGTGTTCAAATTACACGCACAGAGAGACAGAGTGTTCATGTGTGCACAGTTTGTATACATCTAGAAGAAGACAAAGAAAGGGCTCACCAGGAGAAAGACGATGAAGATGTGAAATCTTGAAGAAGAAGACGACGATCGTGGAGAATGAAGGACGACCCAGATTGTGAAAAGTTTATAGGATGTAAATAGATAGAAACAAGGACGAGATACAGCTGGTTTTCTACTTTTCTCCGCGGATGAAATCGAACCATGCCGTACGGATATTTTTCAGAAGTGTTCCTGATCTGTATTGGTTTTTCCAAACACACCTTTTAGTTTATACATATGCAAATATAACCCCTATATTTCAAGGAACGCCGAATTCCTTTGATAATTTTGTTTATGTTTTGTTGTAATCTTCAACCATATTAATTTGGAATATGAACGTGATATTTATCATAAATGTTGTAGCATATTCATTGTGAATGTAGGATTTCTGATCAATAACACATCTATATTCACCATGAATGTGTGATTCATGATGAATAAGATGAATAGCATTTCCATATTCATCATGAATGTGTTATTCATGATGAATATTCATCTTGAAGAGGAAGGTTCCCGGGTTTCTAATCATTATTGTGTTCTTAACGGAATTTCCTTCGGTTTTCTATAATGTGTTTTGTTGTATGGTCTATCGTATGTAAAGCGAAAAAACTAAAGATTTGATGCTTGTGACATCAATAATGACATCTTGATAAGATTTATTAGCAATGTTAATAAATACTTGATAGAAAAACACATATCAACTTAGTGAGTGATATGTAAACCACCGGTGATTCTAGTACAACATCAATAATATATCTAAATCATATGGAAAGAGAGAATAATTTGTACCAATAATCATTGACAGACTCATGAATTTTTCTGAGCATGTACATCTTTAAGGTGAATCAAAGGTCTCTAAAGTTGTAGTTTGACAAAAGAAAAAAATAACACGGTTTGACCGAGGAAAAATTTCAATTGTGTCTATGTGATACAATACATTGTTACAATTGGAATTGGCCTTGACTTTCTGAGCAAGATATAAGACTATATCTTATATCCAACATATTTTTGGCCGAATTCCACAATTACGTGGGACTTTTTTAGTTGATTCTATAATAGATAGTAGATGCAACAACAAAATATAATTTAACCAATTTCTTAAATGGACTGGGTTCCTATGAGAAATAAAGTTATGGTGAGAAGCGTAAGAATAGATCTTTACCCTTGGATTAATCCTAATTAAATGTTAATACTAATGAGGTGCATCGACTCAATTCCATCGCAATTCATTGATGGACATGAGATTAAAATTGATAATAGGTTTCGACCTTTTCTTACGCTTCTAACCATAAGGCTGCGTTTGGTATATGGGACGGGACGGGACAAAATTCATTGTCTCACGTTTGACGCAACATGGAACAAAATAAGAACTCATGTCCCATGTGACAGGGACAAGATGGGACAAAAGAGGTTTTTCCTTGTTCTACCAAAATAGGTAGAACAAGGTGAGACAAGAATGACACGAAAACTAAAATATTACTAATCTACCCTAGTTTGAGGTATAATCTTAATATGATGTTTGTTTTAATGGTCATCATCGCTAGTTTCGACCGGCGCCACCAACGGCAGTCATCGGCGGCCACATCCACCTCCACCTCCACCTTCTCTTCCACTACAACATCCTCCACCCTCTGCACAACCACCGTCCATTTCCACCACCACTACCGTCGTTCGTCATCTCCAACTCATCCTCTACTACAACAACCTTCTTCACCACCTCCACAACCACTGTCGACAACCAACTACCACCGTCCATTGCCACCTTTACAACCACGATTGACCACCGACCATCACCACATATTAACATCAACACTACCACCATTGGCCACCTCCAACTCTTCTTATACCGCAACAACCTCCTCCATGACCTCTACAATCACCGTCGACCACCGACCACCAATGTCCATTGTCACCTCTACAACCACCATCCACCACCACCGTCCATTGCCACCACCACTGCCACCATTGGCCACCTCCAACTCCTCTACTGTAACAACCTCCTCCACGACCTCCACAACTATCGTCGACCATCAACCACCATCTTATATTGCCACCTCACCTCCAGCATAACCACCATCACCACTATCTTCACTACATCAGCCACAACTACCCCATCCACCGTTATCAATCGCCACCACCACCATAATCCACCATCTTCACATCCTCTATAACCACCGTCATCCACCAACCACCATTGCCTCTACCTCTATAAAACACCGTTGAACACCCCGACCACCACTGGCCAACGCCACTACTACCATTGGCCACCACCACCTCCATCATAACCAAAACCACCTCCACCACCAGTACTACCTCCACCACCACTATTACCTCCATCAATTATATCAAAATTTTCATTCAAATTTGATACCATTATATATGTATGTATTCATTTATATGATAATTGTGTAAAAATATTTATAAATTAAATTTTTTAATTATTTGCTTTATTTGTGTTAATTATAACTATTATATAATATTTAAACACATCAAATAACTTTTGGTTGTAACTTGTCTAGTTCTGTCTCGTCTAGTCTTAGTCGTACCAAACACTAGACATACACTTGTTTTGTCCAGTCCAGTCTCGTCCAGCCCTGTCTAGTCCTACCCTCTTGTTCTATCCAATCATGTTTGCGTACCAAACGCTATCTAACTTCCCTTCTTACACGATTCTTAGTCTTTCTTACATCAACTTATTTGAACACGTCATATACCGATTTCAAGTATTATCAAATTTAAAAATAAAAATAAAAATCCATATAAAGTATTAATCTTGAATGTGATTAGTTTTATTTCTTTTTCAATTTATTTCAGATAAAGAGATGTTGGCATTAAAGCGAGACGAAGAACGACTTTATGATTAATAGGTAAATTGGAAGGAAAAAGATTTAGAAAAACATAAGCAAAAATAACACGTGGACAGTTATAAAAAAAATAGTAGTAGTTGATTGATAAGTTTGTACCTTTCTATGATAAATGTCTTGAGTTCAATACTTTTACTTCCATATCTGCTTTGTAATTTTTTAGTAACCGGAATTTAAACCATGAAAAGCTAAAATTTTGGTATAAACAAGAATTGGAACCATGACCACGCAAGTAGCGCATCAACCGTTCCAACTACTTCAAATTTCTGTTACAAATTTGGTTTTTAAAAATATAAGAGTATCTATCAAAATTAAGCGGATGCACAATTTCAGCCGAGAAAATATTTTCATTATAATGAAACAATTGAGTGGTGGCACGTACACCCCCAACTCCCTTAGTAAATCTACCCCTTCCAACAATAATATATATTGACGATGATATTATGATAAAGGCTTCGAATAATGGACGACTGTGATATGACACTAGGGCTGGCAAAATGATTTTTGATCCGTTGGATAAGGGTATGGATAAAGAAAATCTTATCCGTTACCCGTTTATTTGAAATTTTAGTGGGTAGGGTATGGATAACCAGTTTTTCATAACCCGTTACAATATATATATATATATATATATATATATATATATAGGAACCTAATCAAATGAGAACTAATTAGTTTGTGGTAACCGTGAGATCCAATCTCAACCACAAATCAATAGATAAATTAGGAAATTTATAATTTTGGTAATTTTGAATTAAAATTTTAATGCAAGGACATTTTTGGTATTTTAAAACTCTCTTTCTCCTCTCTTCTCTCTCCATCCTCCGATGATACCACAATGGCATCACAATGCATCATATATGTGATTGGGTATCACACTGAGGTCGTTTGTGTGGTCGATCGGAGATGTAACAAAATGCATATTATATATGCTTGGGTATCACACTGTATCTTTTGTTTAACAGAGTCAATATTGTTAGGTATCACAGTGGTATCACCGGAGGATGGAGAGAGAAGAGAGGAGAGAGTAGAGAAAATACCTAAAATGTCCTTGCATTAAAATTTTAATTCAAAATTACCAAAATTATAAAATTTTCTAATTTATCTATTGATTTGTGGTTGAGATTGGATCTCACAGTTACCACAAACTGGTCAGTTCTTCCTTGAATGAGCCCCTATATATATATAGGCACATTCAAATGAAAACCATGCAATTCTTAGAAACCGTGTAAACTAATTTTGACCAATAGGAAAATTTCATTTTTTTCTAATTAAATTTAATCATTAAGGGTATATTGGTCATTGCATTGTTTTCTATTAAATATGAAAGTTATTAATAAATCTTAATTAAGGTAACATAATAAAGAAAATTTTATAAATGGTAACATTTAAATATTTAATTAAATTATAATATTAAAAATTGGATTTTCTTATATTGAGTCTCGGTTTATTATTGTCAAGATTCATGAAAATCGTAAGTTATTAGATTAATAAATCTATGAAATCAGTAATAGAATAAAAAAAATTCATGATACCGGTTTCATACATGGTGAAATTGGTGCATGGAGTAAGTGAAAATAATTATGAAATGGGTGCATGATGAAATAGGTGCATGATGAAATGGGTGCATCATGAAATAGATGCATCATGAAATGGATGCATCATGATATGGGTGCGTGAAGGAAGTGAAACCATTTCAAGAAAAATAAGAAAAGCCTGTGTAATTAGCGAAAAGTGAAACAATTTCATTATTAATAGCGTGAAATGACAAATGACTCATCAAACCATGCTAGCCGATGAAATTGGTGATTGAAGAAAGTGAAACCATTTCATGGTTTCTAAGAAAATTTTGTGTAATTAGTGAACAATGAAAATTTTTCATTATCAAAATGAAACGGATCCATCTATCAATAACATGCAAATGACAAAATCTGATCAGGATTACGTTGATTAGTGTAATGATGAAACTGTGAAACCATTTCGTTCATGTAATGTAATACAATTTTTTTTAATTTCTATTCATGAAAATGACAAAATCTGATCAATTATTTTTTAATTTCTATTCATGAAACAATATTTGATGACATTGTTTCATTTTGTTTTTTTTTTGGATGATTTTGTTAACTTAATGGTTAACAAACCATGTAATGCTAAATGCATTGACTTTATGAAGCGTGTTTGAATTGGAAAAAATTGGCCGATGAA